TCCTTCAATTTGTTAATATCGTATATCATATTGATTGATTTGCGTATATTGAAGAATCCTTGCATTCCTGGGATAAACCCCACTTGATCATGGTGAATGATCCTTTAAATGTGCTGTTGGATTCTGTTTGCTAGTATTTTGTTGAGGATTTTTGCATCTATGTTCATCAATGATATTGGTCTGTAGTTTTCTTTTTTTGTAACATCAGGGTGATTGTGGCCTCATAGAATGAGTTTGGGATTGTTCCTCCCTCTGCTATATTTTGGAAGAGTTTGAGAAGGATAGGTGTTGGGTCTTCTCTAAATGTTTGATAGAATTTGCCTTTGAAGCCATCTGGTCCTGGGCTTTTGTTTATTGGAAGATTTTAAATCACAGTTTCAATTTCAGTGCCTGTGATTGATCTGTTTATATTTTCTGTCTCTTCCTGGTTCAGTCTCGGAAGGTTGTGCTTTTATAAGAAATTGTCCATTTCTTCCAGGTTGTCCATTTTATTGGCATGGAGTTGCTTGTAGTAATCTCTCATGATCCTTTGTATTTCTGTGGTGTCAGTTGTTACTTCTCCTTTTCATTTCTAATTCTAGCCTCATAGTGTTGTGGTCGGAAAAGATACTTGATACAGTTTCAATTTTCTTAAATTTACCAAGGCTTGATTTGTGACCCAAGATATGATCTATCCTGGATAATGTTCCATGAGCACTTGAGAAGAAAGTGTATTCTGTTGTTTTTGGATGGAATGTCCTATAAATATCAATTAAGTCCATCTTGTTTAATGTATCATTTAAAGCTTGTGTTTCCTTATTTATTTTCATTTTGGTTGATCTGTCCGTTGGCAAAAGTGGGGTGCTAAAGTCCCCTGCTATTATTGTGTTATTGTCGCTTTCCCCTTTTATGGCTGTTAATATTTGCCTTATGTATTGAGGTGCTCCTGTGTTGGGTGCATAAGTATTTATAATTGTTATATCTTCTTCTTGGATTGATCCGTTGATCATTATGTAGTGTCCTTCTTTGTCTCTTGTAATAGTCTTTGTTTTAGAGTCTGTTTTGTCTGATATGAGAATTGCTACTCCAGCTTTCTTTTGATTTCCATTTTCATGGAATATCTTTTTCCATCCCCTCACTTTCATCTGTATGTGTCCCTAGGTCTGAAGTGGGTCTCTTGTAGACAGCATATATGGGTCTTGTTTTTGTATCCATTCAGCCAGTCTGTGTCTTTTGGTTGGAGCATTTAATCCATTTACATTTAAGGTAATTTTCGATATGTATGTTCCTATTACCATTTTCTTAATTGTTTTGGGTTTGTTATTATAGGTCTTTTCCTTCTCTTGTGTTTCCTGCCTATAAAAGTTCCTTTAGCATTTGTTGTGAAGCTGGTTTGGTGGTGCTGAATTCTCTTAGCTTTTGCTTGTCTGTAAAGGTTTTAATTTCTCTGTCGAATCTGAATGAGATCCTTGCTGGGTAGAGTAATCTTGGTTGTAAGTTTTTCCCTTTGATCACTTTAAATATGTCCTGCCACTCCCTTCTGGCCTGCAGAGTTTCTGCTGAAAGATCAGCTGTTAACCTTATGGGGATTCCCTTGTATGTTATTTGTTGCTTTTCCATTGCTGCTTTTAGTATTTTTCTTTGTATTTAATTTTTGATAGTTTGAATAATACGTGTCTTGGCATGATTCTCCTTGGATTTATCCTGTATGGGACTCTCTGTGCTTCCTGGACTTGATTGACTATTTCCTTTCCCATATTAGGGAAGTTTTCAACTATAATCTCTTCACGTATTTTCTCAGTCCCTTTCTTTTTCGCTTCTTCTTCTGGGATTCCTATAATTTGAATGTTGGTACGTTTAATATTGTCCCAGAGGTCTCTGAGACTGTCCTCAATTCTTTTCATTCTTTTTTCTTTATTCTGCTCTGCACTAGTTATTTCCACTATTTTATTTTCCAGGTCAGTTATCCATTCTTCTGCCTCAGTTATTCTGCTATTGATTCCTTCTAGAGAATTTTAAATTTCATTTATTGTGTTGTTTATCATTGTTTGTTTGCTTTTTAGTTCTTCTAGATCCTTGTTAAACGTTTCTTGTATTTTCTCCATTCTATTTCCAAGATTTTGGATCATCTTGACTATCATTACTCTGAATTCTTTTTCAGGTAGACTGCCTATTTCCTCTTCATTTGTTTGGTCTGGTGGGTTTTTACCTTGCTCCTTCATCTGCTGTGTGTTCCTCTGTGTTCTCATTTTGATTAACTTTCTGTGTTTGGGGTCTCCTTTTTGCAGGCTGCAGGTTCGTAGTTCCCATTGTTTTTGGTGTCTGCCCCCAGTGGGTAAGGTTGGTAAGTGGGTTGTGTAGGCTTCCTGGTGGAGGGGACTGGTGCCTGTGTTCTGGTGGATGAGGCTGGATCTTGTCTTCCTGGTGGGCAGGACCATGCCTGGTGGTGTGTTTTGGGGTGTCTGTGAGCTTAGTATGATGTTAGGCAGCCTCTCTGCTAATGGGTGGGGTTGTGTTCCTGTCTTGCTAGTTGTTTGGCATGGGGTGTCCAGCACTGTAGCTTGCTGGTCGTTGAGTGGAGCTGTGTCTTAGCGTTGAGACAGAGATCTCTTGGAGAGCTCTCACCGATTGATATTTCATGGGGCCAGGAGGTCTCTGGTGGTCTCTGAACTCAGCTCTCCCACCTCAGAGGCTCAGGCCTGACACCCGGCTGGAGCACCAAGACCCTGTCAGCCACACGGCTGGAGTGCCTTCAGAGTTGGGGAGGCTGGCCTGCAGTGGCTCTCCTTCTGTGCTGCACGTGAGAATCACCAGCTTCTTCCTTGTTTTGCCCCAAAGGCAGTGTGTTTCACAGAGAAAAACAGCCGCCTTGAAAATAGTCACGGCTCTGCGATGGCTTTTTTTTTTTTCCTTTGTGTTTAGTCTGGTTTCAGTTGCTCACAGGGGGCCACGTGCAGAGGCCTCGCACCTGGCTCTTCCAACTGCAGTTCCTAGTGCGGAATCGGTTTTGTCTTTTCTTTTGTTGATACGTTGTATCACACTGATTGATCTGTGTATGTTGAACCATCCTTGTGACCCTGCCATGAATCCAGCTTGATCATGGTGTATGATTCTTTTTATGTGTTGTTGGATTTGGTTTGCTAATATTTTGTTAAGCATTTTTGCATCTATATTCATCAGAGATATTGGTCTGTAATTTTCTTTTTTGCCAGTGTCTTTGTCTGGTTTTGGGTATCAGGGTGATTGTGGCTTCAGACAATGCCTTTGGGACTGTTTCCTCCTCTTCAGTATTTTGGAAGTGTTTGAGAAGGCTCAGTGTAAGATCTTCTTTTTATGTTTGGCAGAATTCTCTCATGAGGTCATCCAGTCCTGGATGTTTGTTTGCAGGGGAGGTTTTTTTTTTGTTGTTTTAACATCTTTATTGGAGTATAATTGCTTTATAATGGTGTGTTAGTTTCTGCTTTATAACAAAGTGAACCAGCTATGCATATACATATATCCCCATATCTCCTCCCTCTTGCGTCTCCCTCCCACCCTCCCTATCCCACCCCTCTAGGTGGTCACAGAGCACCGAGCTGATCTCCCTGTGCTATGCGGCTGCTTCCCACTAGCTATCTGTTTTACGTTTGGTAGTGTATATATGTCAATGCCAGATTCTATTTCAGTCGTAGTGATCAGTCTATTCAAAGTTAACTATTTCTTCTCGATTCAGCTTTGGTGGGCTGTATGTTCCTAAAACGTGTCCATTTCTTCTAGGTTGTCCAGTTTGTTAGCAAAGAATTGTTTATAGTATTCTCATGATTTTTTGTATTTCTCTGGTATCAATTGTTATTTTTCCTCTTTAAATTCTTATTTTGTTTAGTTGGGTCCCACATTGTCTGCTTTTGAATTTGACGTAATGAAGTACACTCTTATAGTTTTTCTTTACTTACTGACCATCAGGCTTGAAAATTGATCTGTATTATTGTAGCCGTTTAACTTTGTGTATTTTTCTGTCATATAAAATTCGGTTGCATATGTATAACAATCCATTCATTTTTGGTGAGATTTGTTTCTATGATTTTGTCTAATATGAACGACCCCTCTGTCACAGTTCTCCTGAATGTATACTCATGGTTATGTACACCTTTTCCCTAAGTTATGTAACTGTGGGTCAGAGCTGTGTGTCTCTCCTTTTCACCGATAATTCTTATTTACTCCCCAGATTGACTGAGGCGGTTAGTACACCTACCAGTAATGTATTGGGACTTAAAGTGCTCAGTGTTTTCTCCCACAACTGATATTTCCATTGTTTTCTCTTTTGCCTCTCATGGGGACGGGCTAGGATGCAAAGGCCTAGGACTAGGATAATTTCATGGAAACCAGGGCATAAAGCTGAAGTGGAAATGATCTACTCGTGATGCTTTATATAAAGGACACATCTGTGTGTATCGGGGTCATCACCGAGCTGTGCTCCAGCTGGATCAGGCTCAGTTCTTTGGGAAAGACAATTCTACGCATTACTTCCCCACTCTGCTTCAGCGCATTCATACGCGTACCATGAGGTTGGCCACGAAGAGAGTATTTTTTTTTTTTTTTTTTTGCGGTATACAGGCCTCACTGTTGCGGCCTCTCCCGTTGCGGAGCACAGGCTCCGGACGCGCAGGCTCAGCGGCCATGGCTCACGGGCCCAGCCGCTCCGCGGCATGTGGGATCTTCCCGGACCGGGCCACGAACCCGTGTCCCCTGCATCAGCAGGCGGACTCTCAACCACTGCGCCACCAGGGAAGCCCAAAGAGAGGATTTACACTGAAGAAAGAGACAAATGCCACACATCTGGGCTTTTTACAAAATGATAAATTCCTAAGCCCGTTTACCAGCACAGCAGCTGACTGTCACTTCAAACGCCATGGTGTTCCTTCACACTAATGGTGTTTCTGGAGAAACTATACCAGGTGTCATCTGACGAGGAGAGAAGGGCTTGAGGGGTCCAGAGAGAGTTTTAGGGAAGAGTTTTGGATTTATCTGTTCGAAACAGGACCCCAAGTTCACCCATTTATTCAGTTACTTAAACGACATTCTGTTTCTGACTGAAGGGATGGAGGTCAATAGCACACAGCAACCAATGTGGAAATTAAAAATAAACAAATATATTACATGAAAGTGGGCCAGAGCAAGAAGGTGTGTAAGGTGTGGACACAGACCTGCCATGTGGGATGTGCCTCACGTCACAGGGGTGAGAGGGGACGGGGCAGTCAGGGAGAGTCATCACTGGTGGCGTGGGAAGGCACCATGGTTAACCGAGGCCCAGTCCTCCACAGGGACTCCCAGGCCTTCTCCTGCACCCACACCATGTCTCTCCCTCCCTGGTCAGACAGTTCACACAACGCGTGCTGCAGATTCTCTTCCAGAACCTCCTGGGCACATAAGGTCATAACAGGGCTCCACCACTCGGGACGGTGCACGGTTCCCTCTTGTGTTCAGCTCCTGGCTGCATCTTGGGCTCCTCCGTGGCCGTGCTGAGCCTGAAAGAGCAGAATCCCGAGGCCCAGCAGGACTGAGCCGGCCATGCCCATCCGGATGAGGTTCTCCACTGTGTAGTCTTGCGGGTGTGAGGGTAGGAATTCTGGACAAGAGATCACAAGGTCAGAGCAGATCCCAGTCACTCCTGAATCCTGGATGTCCACCCAGGGTACTGGTTCCTTTTGTTCTGTCCTCGACAGGACAGAAACTCGGAGCCCAGCCCCATAACTGAGGATTTCTTTTACTAATCATTGCTGGTGTCTGACTTGTTTTGTGGCGGGTGGATGGTGTCACCTGCTCATGAGAATCATAAAGTGAGGGTGTGAGTGAGGAGTTGGGGAGACACGAGCCCTTCTCCTGGGTTCTGTGGCCTCAATGCCTCCAATTCTCATATTACAGCTTCTACACAGTTCCTTAATGAACCCTTCCTCTAATATGCCAGGCTCCCTCTGCTCTCCTCATTGGATTCTCTCAGCCTCCATGTGTTCTTTGAATTCAGAACCTGCTTTTGAATCACTTTGGAACAGAGTTGGCTGTGCCCCCAGTGCTCAGGACTAGTGAGAAAAGTGCTCTTAAGACAGGAATAATTGAGTGCTGTGTGCTCCGTGTTCAGCCTGAGATCGAACCCTGTAATCTTATTCTCCTGCTTCTGGGAGTTCCCACTGATTCAGCAGCTGAGAACCCAGGATCCAGTGATGAGACTTTGGAGTCAGGGGCCATTGAATGTCCTCCTCTCTGGAGGCCCACTGTGTCCCCTCATTCATTACTACCTCAGACATTTCTGGGGACAGAGCCCTGAGCTGACTGAGTCAGAGAGGACAGGGTCAGGGTCCCTCACCTGAGACCGCGAGCTCCAGGGGGGCACTGGCGTGTGACAGCAGGTAGGGGTTACTGC